TGTCTCACTATGTCATTTGAATCAGGCTTACCGTTATGGTTATAATTAGTTTAGGGCACAATTAAAACAGCATTAAAACCCAAGTATACTATTCTTCTCTACTAGCATTTGTTTCAGAAGGGTATCTGCACCTTTTTCTCCAGTTATGCTTAAAGTCTTCAGTAAAAACTATCTGCCATCCCCCTGCAACTTCTTTCCAATGGTCTGGCAATTGAATGATCATGGCTGTCAAAAAGCAACTCCTTTCTGGATAAAGGAAGAGAATGTCATGTTCTGTGTACACACTCACACGTACTCCTCTTAGGAGTTATCATCTTAGGTAATGAATTACAGTCTGCTGAATATTCTATTGTGGTGGGACTTTTTTGTTAAATATACACTCTGATGTGAAGTACACATGAGGTAAGGCAAGCTCACCTGAAGCAGAAGTGGTGAGGTTTGGGATAAACTTTAACTCTCCCAGTAGATTCAGAACAAATGCATAGAGCTCACTAGCAGGGTTTTTTCCCCCAATTACATTTCATGCCCTGCTTCTTCTAAATATTTGTTTTGAGACTATGTCCCTTTTGGTAGCTTTGTATTGATCAGTGTTTCCTGAACCCCTCCTGTTCACCATATAAGCAGCTGAAACAAGTCTGCTGCTGATGCTGAGTTACTTGAGGTAGCATGAACCTGCCTGCAAAGAATTGCAGAAGGACCTTGTGAGGTTGAAAAAATGGGCAATTAAACCTGAAATGAAATTCACTGTGTGAATTGAACCAGTACCTACCAGGAAAAAAAATTCCTAGCTTCTCTTTTCATATAAGATGAAAAGCTCTGAAATTATCACAGCCCCTGAGAAGGAAACCATGCTATGAGTTACATATCAGAAAACACCAGTTAAGTGTGTGGCTGCACTCAATCAAATGTTACAGACCATTTATGAAGGAACACAGAACAGAACAGGAAACATGAAGATGCCACTGCAGGAATCCATAGCAGACCTGAACACTTACTTAGTCCCCTCATCCCAGAAAGCAGAAACAGAAAAAAATTGGAGAGGGGTTGTGTACTAGGTCAGTCTGATTAGTTTAGCACTGCACAGTTTGGAAAATGGACTACATTATGAGTTAACACAGGAAATCATCAGGGGCACAGACACATTGGGAAAAAATATTTCAAGCACAAAAGTCCAGGAGCTCACAAAGGCAGGGAGCCATAGCCAAGCTCAGAGCAAGAGCTGGTGCCTTGTGCAGCAGGTGAGACCTGGGCAGCCCCTCACCCGTGGATGCTGTGTGGGCCAAAGGCTGAAGCAGGCTCAAGGTGAGGCTGGGCAAGCCCTTGGAGAGCTGAGAACCACGGCAGGCGACTGACTCAACAAACCTCACTGAGCTGAGGAGCCCCTGGGCACACATTGGTCAGAGGGGGGTGGCACAGTCCAAAGGGGAAGTTTTGTGGGTGCTGCCTTGTTCCTGCTCTTGCTGAGTGAGCTGCCCTGGCTTTGGGCTGGGGGCAAGCCTGTGCTAGATGGGCCATTTGTCTGCACCCACAGAGCTGCCCTTTTATGACTAATTTCTTTCTGAAGGATGGGAGCCAGCACTGACATCGCTTGAATCAGATGCACTGCAGCAAGGCTGAAGGAAGAAGGATGTGTGGCTATTTTTGGCATGTGAGGCACAGCTGCTTGCTGTCTTCTCTCTCAAGTCAGGAAGGGCACAGACTGGAGCAGGAGGTCAAAACTCTCTTAGCATGTCCTGTATTTCTTAGTAAATGGACTGAAACCAGAGAAAATCAGTAATATGACAGTTGTTAGATAAATCTGAGCTTTTTTTAGCAACTTCTCTGAATGTTGTGAAAACTTCCTTGTGCACAGGATGGTGTATTTAACTTACAATTGCATTTCCTGCATCTGAGAAGGAAGGAGCATTCTTGAAGACTAGGATGGATGGAAGCCACCTGGAAAACTCTGATTTCAAGTGTGCAGGATTAATATAGTGGATATGATGATCTATGAGTGAAGCAGGCTTAACTTTAGCAAAGTTAATGAAAGCTGTAGTCAGTGGGCACTCATAAGCTTATATGAAGCTTGTAATTATGAATAACAATAGAAATAATACTGTCACTAGAGAAATACTAGGGATAGCAAAAATGATGTATGTGTTAACTAGGGAGGAGAAGATACACTGGAAATGGTGGAGGACTAAAATTGCCTAAATTACAAAACAGGAAAGGGGATTTTAGCAGAAATTCATGTTGTTCCAATGAGATGTAATAAGGAACTCATTCACCACTTCCCTTGGGCAGGCAGGCATTCAGTCATCCCCACGAAAGCAAGGCTCCATCGTGCATAACAGTGAATTTGGAAGAAAAATGCCATAAATTTGAACATCCTCTCTTCCTCCTCCTTCCCCCGGCTGTTACTTTTGGGCATGACATCATGGGGACATATGGTTTGGAATATCCCTTGGGTTGTTTAGATCAGGCTGTCCCAGCTGTGTCCCTTCCCAGCTTCTTGTGTACCCCAGCCTGCTCACTGGCAGGGCAGTTCAAGAAGCTGTGTAAGCACTACCCAGCTAAAACATCCCTAATTCTGGTCACAAACCCAAAACAGAGTCCTAAATAAGCTACTATGAAGAAAATTGCCTTTGTACCAACAAAACCCCATACGTATACATAAATGATAGCATCTTTTAACAAAATGAAAAACTGTGTGACATAAAGATATGTGGAGCCATACAAAAGCAATGAAAATACATACATAGAATTCACAGTACCACAGAATATTCTGAGTTGGAAGGGACCCACAAGTATCATCTAGTCCAGCTGCTGGCCCTGCACAGACAGTCCTGAGAATCACACCGTGTGCCTCAGAGTGTTGTCCAAATGCTCCTTGAGCTCTGTCAGGCAGGTGCTGTGACCGCTTCCCTGGTGAGCCTGTTCCAGTGCCCAGCCACCCTGGGTGAAGAATCTTTTCCTAATATTCAGCCTAAACCTCCTCTGACACATCTTCAGGCCATACCCATGGGTCCTGTCACTGGTCACCGCAGACAACAGATCAATGCACTGATCTGCCCCTCCTCTTCCCCTCACAAGGAAGGTGTAACTGCAATGAGGTCTCTCCTCAGTCTCCTCCAGGTTGAACAGTGTCCTCAGCCACTCCTCATATGGCTTCCGCTCAAGGACCTTCATCATCTTTCTTGCCCTCCTCTGGACCCTCTCTAAGCACTCTATATCATTCTTTTATTGTGGTGCCCAGCACTCACACGAGACTTGAGGTGAGGCTGCCCCAGTGCAGAGCAGAGCAGAGTAGGACAATCCCCTCCCTTGCCTGGCTGGTGATGCTGTCCCTGATGCCCCCCAGGACAGGGTTGACACTCCTGGCTGCCTGCTGGCTCATGTTCAACTTGTCATCAACCAGGACCTCCAGGTCCCTTTCCATGGTGCTGCTTTCCACATCTCATTCCCCAGTCCATATATCCAGGGTTGCCCCATCCCAGGTGCAGAGTCCAGCACTTCCCCTGGTTGCACTTCATATGGTTGGTGATTGCCCGGCCCTCTGATTTGTCGAGGTCTCTCTGCAGGGCTTCCTGACCTTCCAGGGAGTTGATAGCTCCTCCCAATTTTGTATCATCTGCAGACTTTCTAAGTATTCCTTTAAGTCATGCTTCCAAGATGTTTATGGCTACTTGAAGCCAATGAATACCATAATAGCTGAACACATGTCTTGCTAAATTCAGTGAGTATCTGACATGCAAAACAGTGCCAGGGTAGGGCTCACAGTCACATGATGCCTCTGAGACCAAGCAATACCCAATATGGCTAAACCTGAAAAAAAAAATTGTTTTCCAAGAGTATGTTTGGTGTATATATTTGTTGTTATGCTGGGACCTGTGAGATGGAAGCCATATATCTGTATGTGTAGCATAGGTTGTGTCCTTCACCAGGGGTGAACAACCCAAGATATGGGTTAGGGGCTGAGCTGATGGAAAGCAGCTCTGTGGAGAAGGACCTGAAGGTCCTGGTGGACAACATGCTGTCCATGAGCCATGCCCACACCCAAGTGGACAAGAAGACTGATGCGCTCCTGGGATGCATTAGGAGGAGCATTGCTGGCAGGTCAAGGAAGGGTATCCTGCCCCTCTAAGGAGCCCTGGTGAGGCACATCTGGAGTGCTGTGTACAGTTCTGGGCTCCTCAGTACAAGAGAAACATGGAGCTCCTGGAGTAAGTCCAATGGAGGGATACAGAGATGATTAAGCGACTAGAACATCTCCCCTGTGAAGAGAGGCTGAGGGAGCTGGACCTGTTCAGCCTCAAGAGAGACAACTGAGAGGGGACATTATCCATGTTTTTAAGTCTCTGAAGGGAGGGTGTCAAGAAGACAGAACCAGGCTCTTCTTAGTGATGCTGAGCAATAGGATAAGAGGTAATGGGCAGAAACCAACACACAGGAAATTCCACCTAAATATGAGGAAGAACTTTACTCTGCGAGCATGGGGACAGATTGTGCGAAGACGTGTGGAGTCTCCCTCACTGGAGATACTCGAGAACCATCTGGACACAATTCCATGCCATGTGCTCTACGATGACCCTACTTGAGCAGAGAGCTTGGATCGCTGCGGTCTCTTCCAATCTGACCGATTTTATGATCGCCGTTTCCTCTCCCGCCCAACTTGAAGCTGCAGACCTGCGGGAACAGAGCCCGCACAGCCTGGGACCACTGCGCGGGCGGGAGCCCTGCGGACCCGGGTTCCCTGGGGCTGTGCGTGCGCCCAGCCCAGCCCCGGCGGCACGGCACTGCACAGCACCACCCTCCGCAGCCGCAGCCGCAGCCGCAGCCGCAGCCGCAGCCGGAGCCGGAGCCGGAGCCGGAGCCGGAGCCGGAGCCGGAGCCGGTCCCGCCCGCCGCCCTCTCCTTCCCCGGGGCGGTGGAGCTGCCTCGAGCCCGCCCCCGGCGGGGAGTGGCCGGGCCAGGGCCGCTTTCCGCCGGGCGCGGGCCGGGGCCGGGCGGGATGTGGCGGCCGCAGCCGCAGCCCCGGCCGGGCGGTACCGACAGGCGGCGCCGCCGCGGCGGGCCCAGGTGAGCGGGGCCGGGGCACCGCGGCTGCTCGGGGGAAGGGAGGAGGCGGAGGGTGCCCGGCGGAGAGCTCGGCAGGAGCCTCTGAACGCGCAGGGGGCGTGGGGCACCCCTGGTGGGGCCGGGCCGGCAGCGCTGCTCCCCGCTGCAGGGGCCGGGCTGGATGCTGCCCTCGGGCTGGGAGCAGCGGCAGCTCTTGGGAGTCGCTTTGAGTATGGGGAGCATGTACTTGGTGGGGTTTTTTGTTTTATTTATTTTTTTTAATGTTTTTTAAACCCCTAGTATACTGGCATTTATTTCAGTTAATGCAGTCTAAGAAAGGGTCTTGCGACTTTGAGATAACGTAGCTATCATTTTTGAACTCAAAAAATAAGATACTTTGATTTCACTTCAGCCTGTGTGGGCGCAGTTATAGTGATATGAAGGTTAATGGTTTATTTGGTATGGTTTATTTGTTTATTTTTTAAATAACCAACTGCAAAGATGGAAGTAATGGTGCTCTTAGAAAAGTCACCTGTGTTATCTCTCCTGTCCTGGCTCAAGGAGGAAAAAGAAAACTGCCATCTCAGTGGACACTCTGTGTGTATATGCTTTTATAAATAAATGAATCCTACAAGACCATGACCTCTAACGTGGGTGAACTGCTCTCCTTTTCTCTCAGAGCAGTAACAATTAGCTGGTCCAGGCTAGGGCTGCTTATCAAACGGTGGTGATGGCAAAAGGCTGGAGCCAGGGGGAAATTCTGGAAAAAACCACTTCACCTTTCCCAGGACAACTGGGAAAGAAAGGTGTACTTCTCACTAGGTGTGTCTGCTGTCTTTTGAGTTGTTTGGGATACGTGGTTCTCCCAGCTCCATGAGTCCACCAAGACTTTCTGCAAACACTTCAGTCATCCTTGCCAACACTTTAATAGGAAACAGCTCATTCCTGTTTTGGTAATCCATATTAATCTGTGTGTACACGTGCTTGAGTAACTTCTTGCTATGCTTTTGAATTAATTATGCTAGCATCTTCAGAGTTCTGCAGTGAAGTGCTTTTATAATAAAGACTTTCACAAAATATGCTGCAGAAGGTATAGCAGCAAGTGCTGCTGCTAATTAGAAGTAATGATAGTTTTCAAAGAAATGGGTGAAGTCCCCTGGGATGCATTATCTCTTGTTTTGTCCTTTCCTATTGGTTCATTTACTTGTTAATTTGCTATTGGCCTTACAGTAACTCCTGAAAATGGCAAAAGTTCTACTTGTTAAAACTTTTCTTAATGTTTGAATACTAAAGTCCCTTTAATGATGTTGTATGTTCCCCCATCTCATTGCTGAAGTTGAAATTGTTGTGGCTCATTCTGGGAAGGCATTGACGGTGGTTTTCCAGTTGAAGCCCTATTCATAGGGGTTCTAGGCCCTTATGAAACTGCAAAGTAGGGGTGTTTAAAATAAATATGATTTAAAAGATATTTGATTTAAAAGAAAAAAAAAAGCCTGAGTTTAGAGATTTGTGGTTACTTAAAATATTGGGATCATATCAAGTTGAAGGAAAGTACAGGAACCACCAAATGTTTACGTGCAGTGTTTTGTATGCTTGAGATTAGGACTGAATCCAATATGTCTTTTTTTCTTCCCATTGCTTGATACTATTAGAGTTATCAATTTTCTTAATAGTTCTCTTTGAGATTGGGCACCAAAAACGGCATGATCTCATACGTGACATTGAAGATTACAGTGCAGCAGCACTCTGAAAAACAGTCAGAGGCAAGTGTTGTATTGCCACTGGCTTCCTCCCTCTTTAAATTTAGCTAGATCATCCTTTGTTCTCGTCACTATAGTGAAGTCAAAACTTTGGGCCTAAGCTGCTTCTGGTGGAATTGTAGTGGGTTCATGTAAGAAAAGAGGATTTATTAGCATGAGGATAAATTAATTGTGATGAACGGGAGGACAGAAAGCACTGCAAACAATGTTTTGTAGTGACAAAAGCGAAAACCCTGAAGGTTAATTCTGACTTTGTTCACAAATTAGGCACACTTGGTTAGGCTTTTTTTGCTCGCTGTAGCTTGGGCCTTTAACAGCTACTGAACCAGCTGACCTTTCAAGTGCCATTTACTCGAGTGTGTGACGCCTCATGGGCGCTCCTCAGGAGTTATGGTATTTTCTTTTCCCATTTTAGCCTTGTGTTTCTTTGAGTGAATCCCTCTTTCTAATTGAGCAGAGACAGGCTGTGACCTTTTCTGGTTTTGGCCATATTGAATATTAATAAGTCCTGTGGAAAGGGGTTTTCTTACCTCCTTTGCATTATTGTCCTCCAAGGTGAACAGGAAGGGACCTGCAGAGTTGCCATAGTGATTTCCAAGTTCATCCTTAGCATCTTGTGTCTCTTTCCAGAAAGCAGCCCTTTCATGCTGTGTCACTTAGATTAGGATTGAACCTAGGGTATGTTGTAATACTATTCAATATTCTTGAAGGAAAACTGCTGCAAAACCCTTATGTATTCGGAATGAATGCGCCCTTTGTAAACCAGCAGTCACATGAGGAAAACTTGGCCCTCTGGCACTGAACAAAGGCTGCTGTTCCTGTTTTAAGTGTGGTAGTATCCTTTTTTGAAGGTGTTTCCTTAATTCTGTGTAGTGTTAACTAGTTAGCACACCATGTAATTTCCTTTTTTCTTCTCCTTTACCATATAGGTGTAAAGGGAGAAATATCAAGCCTGCAAGCTACTGATGCTGTGGAAGCTAGGATCCACTATGGATGTACTTTGTTTGCTAAACATAAGTTTTCTGTATGGAAATTGAATTAGCTGTTGACATGGAGTTACTTCCCTATTTATTGATGCTGAGAATGCGAAGTGGCTTAATGAGTAATCTGAAGTCTGCAGGCAGAGGGGTGAGATCATGTGCTTTCCTCAAGTAGGGTTTCTTTGTTCAGTGTGATTCCTTTGGGACTTGCAGAATTTGGATCCTGCCTCCCCTTTGTACGTACTGTAAAATGCTGCTTGCTGTGTTTCAGACCCTCCTTCATCTCACAGCCAAGCTTCCTTCCAGAACACCTCTTATTATCTCTGTGTGATATATTTCTAATTGGAGCCCAGCTGTCTAATGAGTATGATCAATGGTGCTTTCTGATTTTTCTCACCACATCCTCCCTTACCCTCTTGCTGCCTTACACATAGGTCTCTTCGTCATGTCACACCGCTGTCAGGGTAAATTGTCTTGTTACTCTGCTCTTTTTGCCCTCTGTCACTCCGTTTATTCATACCACTGACAAGTGAAAAAAAAAACCCAACTAAATTAGACTTTACCTTGAATAGTAAATATTTACTACGTAAACAGCTGTGTACTCAGAATAAGAGTTGGAAAGTGGAAAATATGTTGCTTAATTAGCTCCTTTAAAGTTGTATGCACTACCTGTGTTTATGGATTGAATGAAAGAGCAACCAAGTCAGACCTACAGCTGAACAAAAATTTGTTAAACACCCTGTATGCTCTTAGATTATAAAAACTCTTTGGGAAAGAGCTGTGCGGGAAAAGTGGCTCCTTGAAATTAAGAGCAGAGTGGATGTGGCATATGTGACCTTTTTCTGTTCTCTGCAATGGCTGAAGAGTTGGTTGTTTGGAGGGGTTTAATGTGCTCTTGTTGAAAGTTTTCCTTTGCTGGGCTGAGAGGTCAGTGGGGCAGGAGACCATTACAGAGGAAAATCTCTTAGTAGGGGGACTTTGAGGCAACCTGTGGAGTGAAAAGTCAAGACGTTGATAGTGAGTATTGTAAAACTAAATAAAATGAAAGGGTTAGTGTCTGTGAGAGAGGCAGGAACTGGGAGTTGATACCATTAGATACCATTTTCTGAATTGTTTTGCAAGTCTCCAGATCTGTGTAAGGTGAGGGATGTGGCACTGGTGTAGCTTTTCAAGACCCTGCTTAATGGTGAATAATAATACTAATGGAAAATTAGAATCAGATAATAGTGATGTTTTGAATGTGTCTGTAGATAATGAAGTCTGTCAATGGCTTCACAACTTTATTGATTAATGGGGTAAGCACCACAGTCCCTAGCTCAGCTTATCTGACAGCAACTTGAGTTTAAATCACCAGTCTGATGATGGTGAAAATCATCAGATTGGTCTGAAAATTATGCTTAGAGCAATAAAAGAAACAATTTTTAACATCTTTTTGTTTTGCTTTTGGGAAGCCATCAACTCTCCAGAGAGCGTGGGAAGGGGAAGAATAGTTTTTTCATGATAGTAAACTGCTTTCTTGCTGTTTTAGTGGGATACTTTAAGTATTTTGTTTCTATTATGGTGGTGAGCATTCTTCCCACTGACATAGCAGCTTAGTCTTACGGGTTATCATTACTGCAGATATGCAGGCACTTGGAGTGGTGCTGGAGGAGATTACTTGCAAGGCCAAATGCTTATAGCCACAGGCTTTTCCTTTATGTTGTGGCTATCTAATTCTTGTGGTTGGTTGTTCTCCTTCCTCCACACATAAATGTTCTACTTCAAGGAAACACCATGAGGTTCAAAGAAAGGAGCATCCCTGAGTCTGTTCAGGGTGGTAAATTGAGGTAGCCTCAGCTCCATAAAATATCTGAATTTTTGTTTCAAGAGATAGGCTGATCATATGAACTTAATTTCTCCCTTTGTTAGAAAGTATGTCTTTGGGGACAAGAGCTTTCCATTCTCTGTTAGGATTTTGGACAAAGATGGTTACTGAGGCAGAAATGAGATGGAATTTCATGGTGCTGGTCTAAGTTTCAGGTGCTTCCTGTTGCTAATGGTCCGTGGAGATCGTGGTGATGGAAGGGAATGGGCAGCACAGCTGTTTGCCGGGGCTTGGCTTTTCCCATTGAATGAGTAGTGCATTAACCCATCAGTATTTACATTAATAGCTCAGACTGCCTGTGTTGCATTCCCAGCTCTGCTCCTGAAGAGCCATAGGCACACCAGTCCCAGGAGGGTGTGACATGCAGCTGCTGAGTTGGGTGATACTTTACATTGCTGTAGTAACATTTCCTTGCTG